TCAGCTATGAAAAACGGATGTGCATGCAACACGCAGTTTCTGGAACAAGGCAATTCCAGAGGTGGACGAACAAAGAGAACCTTCCGTAGGAGTTTACAGCTGGTGAACACGAAGAAGAAATGTTCTTAGCAAAATGAGGCTCAGCTTCCAAAAAAGAATTTCCTTACTCAAACAAAAAAACCATAAAGTACACACAGAAGTGAGAGAGTTAGTTAAGTAAGAACCTCTTCTTGGTGCAGATTACTACAGTCTTGGAGGACTTGATCTGTTGTCTCAGGTGCTAATCCACATGTACACATGGCTGATTCACCAATCTTAAATTTTGTGTACACTAACTGTGAAGTCGACTGTGTCCTGTTTTAAGGCGTATAATAATTACTTGTTTCTGGTCTGTACATAATATGGTAATCGTCTTTTGCCAGTTTTGGTGGCTTTCTAACTGATTTGATTATTCTCTTCTTCTGTTGATAAATGACTGTATAATAGGTGTTTTTAAAGTAGTTTCTAGTTGCTAAAAGGGCCTCTTTTCTTTAAATCAACGTTTTGGGCATCATTTTGGAAACCAAACTTGACTGACTGAACTTCTGTGTCCTTGCCCACTAAACATTCTTGGCATGAGTGTTGTGTCAACAAAACCAAAGGGAAATCAAGGGAGTAAATATGTTGTGTCAGCAAGACTGAAGGGAAATCAAGGGTTTAAATATGTTGTGTCAGCAAGACTGAAGGGAAATCAAGGATGTTCAAGTGTTGTGTCAACAAGACCAAAGGGAAATCAAGGGAGTAAATATGTTGTGTCAGCAAGACTGAAGGAAAATCAAGGGTGTTCAGGTGTTGTGTCAGCAAGACTGAAGGGAAATCAAGAGTGGTCAAGTGTTGTGTCAGCAAGACTGAAGGGAAATCAAGGGTTTAAATATGTTGTGTCAGCAAGACTGAAGAGAAATCAAGGGTGTAAATATGGCGTGTCAGCAAGACTTAAGTGAAATCAAGGAAGTTCAAGTGTTGTGTCAGCAAGACTGAGGGGAAATCAAGGGTTTAAATATGTTGTGTCAGCAAGACTGAAAGGAAATCAAGGGTTTAAATATGTTGTGTCAGCAAGACTGAAGGGAAATTAAGGATGTTCAAGTGTTGTGTCAGCAAGACTGAAGGGAAATCAAGGATGTTCAAGTGTTGTGTCAGCAAAACTGAAGGAAAATCAAGGGTGTTCAAGTGTTGTGTCAGCAAGACTGAAGGGAAATCAAGGGTGTTCAAGTGTTGTGTCAGCAAGACTGAAGGGAAATCAAGGGTTTAAATAAGTTGTGTCAGCAAGACTGAAGAGAAATCAAGGGTGTTCAGGTGTTGTGTCAGCAAGACTGAAGGGAAATCAAGGGTGTTCAAGTGTTGTGTCAGCAAGACTGAAGGGAAATCAAGGGTGTTCAAGTGTTGTGTCAGCAAGACTGAAGAGAAATCAAGGGTGTAAATATGGCGTGTCAGCAAGACTGAAGGGAAATCAAGGATGTTTAAGTGTTGTGTCAACAAGACTGAAGGGAAATCAAGGGTGTAAATATGTTGTGTCAGCAAGACTGAAGGGAAATCAAGGGTGTAAATATGTTGTGTCAACAAGACTGAAGGGAAATCAAGGGTGTAAATATGTTGTGTCAGCAAGACTGAAGGGAAATCAAGGGTGTAAATATGTTGTGTCAACAAGACTGAAGGGATATCAAGTCTCAAGGTAAATCAGGAAAACTGAAGGGAAATCAAAGGTGCACATGTGGTGTGTATGATGTCCAACAAAATTCAAAGAAAATAAATTATGTACAACTAGTCAGAAATATTTTAGGGCAATCAAAGATCTGCATGTTTTATGTCAACTAGATTCAAGAACAACCATGTGATTTTTAAAAAAAAAATTTTTTATAAGGCCAATCTAAGTGCAATAAGGTAACCAAAAAAAAAAAAAAAAAAAACGTTATATGGTAGCACCATATACTAAGTTATAATTAGAAAGACTTGAAAAAAAAATTGATGTTCTCTCCTTTCATTAAAGAACTTCACAAGAGGCAGAAGTAAGTACAATAGAGAATGTTGAATTAAGAATAAACATCACAGCACTTGTAACACTTCCATAAGTGCTCAGTCCTCATCTTCAGCAGCAAGCTAAGAGTTCCGATTCCGATGGTACCAGTAACCGTCTGAGTACAACAGAAAAACTGAGTCAAATCAGTTCTGAATTCTAGCATTCTAATGCAGATAAATAAATACATTACTGGGCTGTATTTTTTTTTTAAACTGCCACTATATTAGACTGCTGTTGGCAACTGCTAAATTTACCCAGGAGCCAAATGTTGAAAATGAGAATTGTCACAGCCTAGAAGGTGGAGCCACAGGGTAGAAAGACCATTAATACAATATAACTGGCAATGATCAGTGCGCTAACTGCTAAGCCTCTTCAGGCAGGATTTGGTCCGCAGGTAACCAGCTGAATAGCCATGCACAAGAACTGCTGATGGCAACTAAACAAATTTATCATGGCAACAACCAGACTGTTAATGGCAACCAACAGACTGTTGATGGCAACCAATAGACTGTTGATGGCAACCAATAGACTGCTGATGGCACCCAACAGACTGTTGATGGCAACCAACAGACTGTTGATGGCAACCAATAGACTGTTGATGGCAACCTTCAGACTGTTGATGGAAACCAACAGAATGTTGATGGAAACCAACAGAATGTTGATGGCAACCAACACACTGTTGATGGCAACCAATAGACTGTTGATGGCAACCAATAAACTGCTGATGGCAACCTTCAGACTGTTGATGGCAACCAATAGACTGCTGATGGCAACCAACAGATTGTTGATGGCAACCAACAGACTGTTGATGGCAACCAATAGACTGTTGATGGCAACCTTCAGACTGTTGATGGAAACATCTGTCTCCATTATATTGCCCCCAAATATGTACACATAAGAGTTTAGGTTTATGGTGCAGGCTGCAAACTAAGTTGGAAAAGGGGGTTGGGGGGGGGGGGGGTGGGGGGGGGATGGAGCATCTTGAAATCAACTGCTCATACAGAAATACAGAATCTAGCACAATGCAGACAAAACTCTTACAAAAAAGCAACTAACATGACAACTGGCCAACTAACATACACAAAGTGTAAATTCAAAATGTTTTCCCACTGTGTTATTAAACAGTGAGGAGACAAACAATTAGCTGCACAGTTTATCGCCCAAGCTAGTTGCCTGGATCTCATCAGGTACAGACTTACACCAATGAAGCACAAAAATGAACCCTTTTTTTGCAGTCAGCACGTGGTTAATCTAGGACTTGTGTTGGTGAAATGTGCAGTGTAACATGAGGGCAGGGATTCTGTGTATTTCTTCCTCTTTTTCTTAGCATTCTTCTGGCAGAAATTTCTGGTTGTTCACCCACTTCTGGACTCTTTAAGTCTTATTCCAGAATCTCAGTTTTGCGTGCACATTCGTTTGACAGATCTGGCTTATTTTTATAAAGACTGTTGGCGACTCGTCTTTCATGCAGGTGAAAACTGACTTTGAAGGAAACATCCCTAATTAGTGACCTCTTACAAAATGCTTGACAGGGGGCAGTGAGTTCTTTTTTTTTTTTTTTGTGCTTCTCACCATGGGGCCCTGAAATGCACGCAGGGATCTATATTTTAGTTGAACGGATTATTGTGTGCTTCACTTTATGTTAATTAACTTTGTATTTATGTACCTAAAGAAACACAGCGAAAAATGCCAGGCAATACATTATAAAAGGTATTGGTTCCTTTTTTTTTTTTTTGTCTGAATCATTTAAATAATTGTAAAAATATGAATTGAAGGTTATGCTACCTAAGTGCAAAAAAGAATCAATTTTTATTTAAGAATAAAATCTGCTGTTCAAAACAGTTTATGAACAGGCTAGACACAAGAAGAGTATAACCTGACATTCACCATCCTCTCCCATAAGCTGGTGATCCTTGTAAGTGCCCCACGTGCAGTCATCCCCTGATTTTTAATTCTCAGGTATAACTGAAAGTTTAATAATCTGAATCCTCCATGAAGTCAGTCTTTATCGGAAGTATGTCAACGGCCTGAAACAATGGTTCTAAAATCTCTCAAGGTCTGCAGACCGCACTATGAGAAAACTAATCTCAAACAATTACCAGGCGATTTGAAGCAAAAATGTCTGGGCTGATATGACGCTGTTACTTTTAATTCTAGTGTCATATTTCCCAGTGTTTAGCTAGCTAGTTCTAGCATTCCAAACACTGTCTGTTGACTCCCAAGTCAAACTGAACAAATACTTGGCAATTTAAATAGTTACACAGAAATCGGTCTTGTCCTTCATCTTTGAGATGTCCACTTTTGAAATAGACACAAGAATCACACAAAATTATTGTTATTTTCAAATCATTAATAACTGGGTATGCAGGTCCGTCTTACATCATTAATATGAACACAAACAGCCAGAAGCTTGATGTACAGTCTGGTAACAATGGTTGTGAAATCCATTCAAATTACTTTAAATAAAGAATGCCTGCTCCACTATGTGGAAAAAGGGGAGCGGGGGAACAACTGCCAATAAGAACAAGCTGCATCCTCAACATGTGTAGGTCGCATATGATCAATCATATCCATTCCCGTAGAGAAAATTTCTAGTTTAGTATCTGATACGTTGTTTCTTCCAGTAATTTACACAGGAAGTGTTCATTAACATACAGCACTTTTATCAATGAAACAAACTAGCTGCATGTAGTCCAGCAGCAAATGGCACTATAAAAAAACACTTGGACTCCTGACACTAATGTCTACTACACATCATTATGGAAACATATATATTTGTAGGAGATAAAATGTATAATTAGAGAATATGAAGAAAAGTAAAGTTTATAAATTCCTCTGGGATATAAGCCGCAAGTAGTCTCAATCATGAGTGCTGGACTTCCAGAGAACGTTAAATGTGTAGATAGTGTCTTCAGTGTGGCCCAGTTTCTGGGAGACTTTGTCCAAATTAATTTTGACGCCCACCTCGACTGCCACCTTCATGTCCACCACGAGGGCCACCTTCATATCCTCCACGACTCCCACCTTCATGCCCTCCTCGACTGTTACCTTCATATCCTCCACGACCGCCACCTTCATGCCCTCCTCGACTGTTACCTTCAAATCCTCCTCGAACGCCACCTTCATGCCCTCCTCGACTGTTACCTTCATATCCTCCTCGACCGCCACCTTCATTCCCTCCTCGACTGTTACCTTCATATCCTCCACGACTGCCACCTTCATGCCCTCCTCGACTGTTAGCTTCGTATCCTCGAACGCCACCTTCATGCCCTCCTCGACTGTTACCTTCATATCCTCCTCGACCGCCACCTTCATTCCCTCCTCGACTGTTACCTTCATATCCTCCTCGACCGCCACCTTCATTCCCTCCTCGACTGTTACCTTCATATCCTCCTCGACTGTTACCTTCATATCCTCCTCGACTGCCACCTTCATTCCCTCCTCGACTGTTACCTTCGTATCCTCCTCGACCGCCACCTTCATTTCCTCCTCGACTGCCACCTTCATATCCTCCACGACTGCCACCTTCATGTCCACCTCTCCTGTTATCCTGAGGACAAACAAGAACAAGTTTACAATTACTACAACAGTAAAAATATCAGTGTTATAAATACGATAATTAAAACTGCAGATTGTTTTATGTGCTCCGCATGTGGGTCATGGCTTCAAATTTAGAGAACAAACAGACCCACTGTCTTCCCTCAACATGCATCTAGTAGGAGGCAAGTAGTAAACAGTGCTTCCTTCTAAGTCAGACAGCAACTGCCTGAGAGGCAAAGAACCAACTGACTGCAAACAGATAAGCCAGACCTGAAATATGGATGTGCATGTAATACCCACATTCTGGATCAAGGGTAACATCTAGAAATGGATGACCAGAACTTTCTGCTGGAGTTTACAGCCGGTGAGCATGTGCAAGGAAACCACAAGTAAGGAGACAGTCAGTGAGATTTAACACTGAGAGATAACATTAGAAATATAAGTTAAAGCAAACTGCTTTTCATGCACCCTAACCACTCGTCCAGCCGGTGAATATTACGAACATCTCCCCAAGCAGGGGCTAACTCTGTCTGGGAAGATGTTCGTAAGGTTTACCAACCATCCACTCCTCATTGCACAAATTCTAAAAAATTAACAAAAGGTAACAAACTTTTTCTTTCAACCACTTGGAATAAACTATCTATAAACTATCTATCTACTTGGAAAAAAACTGCCTGTCTCTATCTATTTGGGGAAAAAACTACCTGTCTATCTATTTTGGGAAAATTGACCGTCTGTCTATTTGTGAAGAAAACTGCCTGTCTCTATTTACTGAAGAAAAAAAAACTGCCTGTCTCTATCTACTGGAAAAAACTTCCTGTCTCTACTGGAAAAAACTGCCTGTCTCTATTTGGGAAAACACTGCATGTCTCTGTCTATTTGGGAAAAAACTGTCTGCCTCTGTCTATTTGGGAAAAAAACTGCCTGTCTCTATCTATTGGGGGGGGGGGGGGGGGGGCCTGTCTATCTATGTCTATTCGGAAGAAAAAAACTACCTGTCTCTATCTACTTGGGAAAAACTGCTTGTCTCTATCTACTCTGAAAAAGAACTGCCTGTCTTTATCTACTCTGAAAAAGAACTGCCTGTCTCTATCTACTCTGAAAAATAACTGCCTGTGTCAATCTACTTGGATAAAACTGTCTTTATCTCTTAAACAAACAAACATAATTTTTCATGCCTCCAAGCATATTGGGCACATAGGGCTATACCTTTATTTTATAGACCAATGTGCACTTGGTGGGTGAAATGGTCACCATCACATAGGCTGCATTTACCTTCCAGAACCTTTAGTCCCTCCATCTACTTGGGATAAACTATCCGCATTCACCAGGAATAAACTGTCTCCACTTGGGATAAACTATCCGCATTCACCAGGAATAAACTGTCTCCACTTGGGATAAACTATCCGCATTCACCAGGAATAAACTGTCTCCACTTGGGATAAACTATCCGCATTCACCAGGAATAAACTGTCTCCACTTGGGATAAACTATCCGCATTCACCAGGAATAAACTGTATCCACTTGGGATAAACTATCCGCATTCACCAGGAATAAACTGTCTCCACTTGGGATAAACTATCCGCATTCACCAGGAATAAACTGTATCCACTTGGGATAAACTATCCGCATTCACCAGGAATAAACTGTCTCCACTTGGGATAAACTATTCGCATTCACCAGGAATAAACTGTATCCACTTGGGATAAACTATCCGCATTCACCAGGAATAAACTGTATCCACTTGGGATAAACTATCCGCATTCACCAGGAATAAACTGTATCCACTTGGGATAAACTATCCGCATTCACCAGGAATAAACTGTCTCCACTTGGGATAAACTATTCGCATTCACCAGGAATAAACTGTATCCACTTGGGATAAACTATCCGCATTCACCAGGAATAAACTGTATCCACTTGGGATAAACTATCCGCATTCACCAGGAATAAACTGTATCCACTTGGGATAAACTATCCGCATTCACCAGGAATAAACTGTATCCACTTGGGATAAACTATCCGCATTCACCAGGAATAAACTGTATCCACTTGGGATAAACTGCCTCCTCTGCAAATGTTATCTAATGTATGAACTTGTCTTTTGTAGTTCACAGCAACAAATAATATGCTCCTAATACAGCGGTTCTCAACTTCTGGGTCGCGACCCCTCTGGGGGTCGAGCGACTCTTTCACAGGGGTCACCTAAGACCATCGGGAAAACACATATTCACTGAAGCTATAAAGTAGCAACAACAGTAATTGTATGGTTGGGGGTCACCACAATATGAGGAACAGTACTGAAGTGCCACAGTGTTAGGAAGGTGGAAAATTACTGTTCTAATGTCACTGTTTTATATGGCTGAACAGGATGTCTGGAACTTGCTTCTACTAGATTCACACCTAAAAAAAGTTTGAGTCACTAGAAATTTGTCAGGGTTGCAAGCCTATGGATGTGTTGGAAGGGGGGTATCAGTTAAGAACTGACTGACATCATAGCACTCTGTGAGTCAGTAACAATCATGACATCTTGTGCTTAATTGGTTCTCAAGCTTGCAAAAGGTTGCAGCAACTGCCTCCACCTCCAGTCTAAAACTAAATGTTGTAATTGTTTTAACTGCCACAGGAAAGATGCATGTTTTTCAGAACTCTCACCAAATCATTCTGCTTCCATGTTGATCTTGGCTGTTTATAAGTTTTATTGTCTTTTCTGTTGAGTTTTCGGTTCTTTTCTGTTAGGTCACCAAATCACACGAGATTTAGGGACATCCGATAGTATAAGGGGTTTAGGGTTAGTAGCAGCCGTGGTCACTTAAAAGAAAAGAACAAAGTTTTCTAGTAACAGTCTGTGTTGCATTTAGTGCTCTACTGATAAAGACTTAGACTGAAACATCTGACTAGCTGGCATGTCTCTTCCACTCCCTCTGTTGAGCTTTCAGTCAGTCTGTATTGTATTTAGCATCATCTTAAGTTGTTTGCTGCTGCTGCTGCACTTTGGTTCTTCATACTATTTAACTAGTGGATTGCTAAAGTTTGTCTCCTTTTAATTTCTGGTGAGCAATCGCAACTACCGTTAATTATTCAGCCAAGCTATTCAGAGCCCCCCCCCCCCCCCCCCCTTACACACACACACACACAAACACACATGCAAGTGTGCACACACACACACATGCAAGTGTGCACACACATACACACACAAACACACATGCAAGTGTGCACACACACACACACACACACAGCGCCACCACGGCTCGCCTGTGGATCAGAGGGTCGTGGGTTTTGGTCCTGACATAGTCGATTTTTTTAATCTTAAATGACCCTGGCTCTCAGGTTAAATAAGTCCTGGGAAGTAAAGGCAGCTGGCATGATGCTGACATTACCCACCGAATGCCGACTGGTCTATAACATATAGGTCTTAGCCCAATATGCTGTTATGTGAGGAAGAGGGTCCTTTTTTAAAATTTGATTAATACTTACTCTCTTTCTCTCTCACACAGACACACACACACACACATATATACGTATATACACACATACATATGGAATACACACACGAACGTACAGCTGTTTCTACAACAAAAGGTACAGGTACTCAAAAAAGTGTCTAAACAGGTACCGGTGTGTGTGTGTGTGTATAGCTATGAAACAATAAAGATGCATCTTAGCCTTCCATGCCTGCCATGGTGACCGATTTTCTCCCATTCTGCAGACATGTCCAAACCATCGTAACTGTGACTGATCCACTCGGGTTTGTAATGACTCAGTAACAAAACGAATTGTCTGACTGTCCCTTCCTATCACTTAGACCACCTTTCTCAGATATCTAGTTTCTGAGGCCTGAAGCTGGCTTCTGTGAGCTGTTGTCATTGCCCATGACTCACACCCATAGGTCAGGACTGGTACATAAGTAGAAACAGAAGTCACACCCTTTCGAAACTTCCTACTCCACTAAAGTTGCTGGACTTTCTGACAGGCATCAACATACCTGATCTTCCTTCACTGATGGATTTTTATCAGGTCACACTGATTAAAAGAAAGTCGCCGTGGCGTAGCGGCTAGACGCTCGGGTGCAGATCGAAAGGTCGTGGGTTTGCTCACTGGCAGAGCCGGACTTTTTTCAAAAAAAGACCTTGACTCCCAGGTCGACCCAGCCTTGAGTGGGTACCGGGTGCAGTCCCAGGAAGTTAAGGCGGCCGGAGTGATGGTGACCCCATCACCCATCTTGTGCCGATTGGTCTATAAAAATATAGTCTAGCCTTATATGCCCTATACGCCTAAAGGCGTGGAAAAGGGACCTTTACTTTATTTCCTTTACACTGATTAAAATAAAAAAATATGTTAACAGAGCGCTGCTCATTTCTGGTGCATGTCAAAAGGGGTAGGGTAGAGCCCATCTTTAAACTGTCATTATGAAGCTACCGTGTTCGTGATGTCACATGCTTAACATACTTGACGTCCTTAACAAAATTAATAGTTAACATGACTATGGCATGATTTTTGTAATTTCTATCTCACTTTTTTAGGGTTGTAATTTGAAGGATCGTCGTATATCTAGTTTCAAACTTAGAATATAGTACTCTAACCTCAAACCAATACTAATGTACGCACATTATATAAGAGTCTTCAAATTCAATTCCATTTTTTTTTTTTTGGTGGGTTCTGGGGTCTCAATGTGGGGAAAACAAGAACAAACACACTGCCTTCCCAACAAGCGTGTCGTAAGAGTGGACTAATTGGGAGCTTACTTCGAAGTCGCAGTGCTTCCGCCTGTGAGGCAAGGAACCAACAGTTCAAAACAAAAATAAGTCAGATTTGTAAAACGGATGCATAAGCAACACTCAGGTTCGGGAACAGGACCACAGCCCAGGGGAGGACGAACAACCAGAACTTTACGCCAGAGTTTAAAGCTACTGAATGCGAAGAAGAAGAAAAGGGCGGTACACGGCATTATCGAGGGTGGCCAAGACATCTTATCATTTCTGCCAAACACATCAAACTTCAGGAAATTCTAAATTAGCTGCCTTTCCTGCATGTTAAGAGGTAGTTGGTTTATTATCCTCTCCCCTCCCCGCCCCTGAGAGGCAAGGACTCATGAATCTGTATAACAATGAGTCAGATATAAAAAACAGATGTTCAAATAATACTCGGGTTCTTGAACAAGACTAAAGTCCAGAAGTGGATGTACAACTAGAACTTTCTGACAGTTTACAGCCAGTGAATAAAAAGAAGAAGAAGAAGAGCAGGAGGAAGAGGAGGAGGAGGAGAAGAAGAAAAAGAAGTAGAAAAAGAAGAAATACATTTAAAAAGTAGATATGTCAGCTGTGCTAAAAAAAAAACATACACACACAATAGGTATGTCAAAACTTATCAACATAACATCATACAGTGAAATGAAATGATCAGCTGCTTACCCAATTTCTGCCACCAGGGGCATCACCTCGATCTCTGTCCCCACCTCGATCTCTCTCTCCACCTCGATCTCTCTCCCCACCTCGATCTCTCTCCCCACCTCTGTGTTCTCTTTCAGCACCACGATGATCTCCTCGTGAGTCACTGCGAGTGTCCCGTTGTTGAAGACCTGTATGGGCATCTTCCTCTTGACGTTTTTCATAATGAATGAAATCATCAAAAATAGAAGTTGTGTGTTTGTAACTGTGGACAATACGCAAAACCTGTTTGCCTTTCTCTGGAGGAACTTCCTGTGTGTCTCTCGAGTTGGTCACTGGTTTGTTCTCATTATTTTCCAGCCGAATGTGTCGCAACTGGCTGTTTGGAACATCCTTTACGTACACCCACTTCACGATGAACTGGCCCTTCCATTTGTCCTGAGCCCAAACGCCCGCACTTCTGTTGTAGTCGACGGGCGTCATCATCTGAGCGATGCCACAGAAATGACCACTGCCATTAACAGAAAAAATGAGGTAGACGGGTCCCTTTCCCTCCCGTTCCTGGAAAGCAGCATCTAGTCTTTTGTTGCCATGTTCTGTACTACACCAGATATTATACTTTATAGACCGATGGATGTCGTCCTCTGAGTAAGACTTTATGATGAAGAAACGAGCGGACTTTGGGTTCAGGTTGAATTCCTTTGGATTGTACAGGTTGGAAGATTTCAGCTGGTCCAAAACAGGATGTGAGGGTGCTGGAGCACTAGGCTGGTGGTTGTCACCGTTCGTTGTTGCACAGCTGTCATTCTTCCGTGTGTTGCTGGGGGTTGCATCGGCAACATCACTATAGTTTGAATAAGAAGGGGAGTGCCTGTCTGCATTTCCTGTACCGCTACTGATGATGCTGTTGCTATTATTAGAGTTGAGGTTCGTGTTATTAACTGAACAGTCACTCCCTGGTCCACTGGCTGAGTGTGGCTGCATTTGCCTACTGCTGCTGCGGACAGGATTGGTCACCCAGCTTTGACGTGGCTGGGCTGGTTGTGCTGAAGGCTGCTGTGGTGGCAGCATCACCGTTTTGTTGGGATTGCCTCTGATATCCCAAGTCCCAATATCCATATAGTGAGGCCTATTTGGGTTCACTGGAGCCCTTGGGATAGTCCTTGGCCTCATTTGCTGTTGAGGTCTCGCCGGCTGGCTGGCTATGGCAGCCCAGGAAGTCTTCTTGGACTGGCTCTGATTGCCCCCACCACCACTCATTAAAGATGAAGACTGCACAGAGGACTGGGAATGGGAATGGGAATGGGGAGACAACATCATGTGAGAAGTGTCCACGCTGATCATGGCCTCTGACATGATGGGAGGCTGGCTAACATCCACCATTTTCTTTCTGCTGGACGAATCCATATTTGTGTTGGCGGAGGCTATGGTCATACTCCTAATCCCATGCTCCACTGACCCAATGGGCTCCTGCGACTCTGACAACACTGTTGCGCCGTTCATCATGCCGTAGCTATCAGGAGGAATCATTTCTGAGGTGTAATATTCTTCCGTGGGATAACCCCTCTGGTCTTTACGCACTGGTGGCTGTGATGCACCCCAATAGTCACTGGGGTAATCCCAGTTGTTGAAAGAAAATCCAAATCCGCCGTACATGTTACTGTAGTCATAGCCCATTCCAAACATGGTGTCCGCACCATTGGACCACGGACCTTCAGAGCCGCTGATTCCTTGGCTCATGAACGGGTAGGTGATGTTTGAGGGGTAGTAGCTTTGAAAAAATGAGTCTGACACGCTCATGGTCGACACTGGAGGAGCAGTATAACCGGCCTGCAGATTTCAAACAGAACATCTATATATAATAACTTAAACTAGGAGATCATACTAATAAATTCATGTAAAACAGAATGTGGTATTTTTTTAAGCCCCTGTGTTGTTCAAGGCCTCATGTGGGGCTGGAGGGAACAGACCCACTGCCACCAATAAGCATTATGTAAAAGGTGGCTAATTAGGGCTGTTTTCTTGGTAGTCAGACTGCATTTGTCTTAGAGGTAAGAAACCAACAGTCTGTGCGCGCGCGGGCTTACAAAACCTCTAGCCAACCCCACACACACACATGCAGGCGCTAAAATCCCCCCCCCCCCCCACACTCTGAGCCAACTCAAAAACGCATTATGATTTTAATGCATTAAATACTAGACTGTATTTGTGTATAGGTGTGTGTGTGCACACGCGTGCATGCGCGTGTTTGTGTGTGTATGCAAGAGAGAGCCCTTTTTTAATATCTCTGACATAGGTAAACTGCTTACTATTTTAACTATTCCAATACCAAAGGACAATTGAATTAGATGTAAATCAATACACGATGCATGGTTAGGCAGTGAAAGAGTTTGAAACTGCACAGATTACAACAGACAAAAAGATCCTGGCTGGCACTGACAGAAAAACAACCACTCTTTACTCATTTTGGGGTGCTGAGCATGAAAATGAGACTGCAATTTATTGTTTGGCTCAAGTTTAGAAGGCAGCCACCATGGTGTAGTGACTAGACACCTGTGGATTCGAGGGTTGTGGATTCAGGTTCTGATGGAGCAAGACTTTTTTTTTTCACAAATTACCTTGGCTCCCAGGTTGACCATCTTGTCTGGGTACCAGGTATAGTCCTGGGAAGTAAAGGCATCCAGCATGCCTTTCATACTTTTGCTTCAGCAATCTCTGGTCATCCACTTAATCAACTGCGGGCCACAAACTGTGTGGGATTTCCGCAGAGCTTAGTGTTCAGGTCTACTGAGTGTGAACAACATGCTGCTTCACAGCTCCACCAAGAGAGAACAGTCTTGCAAGACATGTTCTGGAGTCTGTTCAGCACGAAGACGCAGGCAGAGAGCTGTCTGGCTCATACCTAATTTATACGAGTGTTTGTTGAGTCTGCAGTGTCCAATATGCAAGCAAAATATTGTCACTTGGTCTGATCTGATGACTGATGAAATCTTTTTCAGGGTTATAACTTGCGTCAGTTTTCCGATCAGTTTCCGATTTTCTCTTAAAGAAATGGGGTTGGAGTGAAATAAAGAGACTTTCAGAATGAAACAACAAAAAGGCATGTACTTACATCTGAAGTCTGATCACTCCATGATCTCATAGAGTGCTGTGGCTGCTGCAGGTAGGGATCACTCTCTTTCATCACATCTTTGGGAGCACCATTAGACACTTTAAGATGACGCAATAGAAAACACACTTAACAAAATTAAATTTTAACGAAAATAGTCAAGTAAACAACATTTTTACACAATGGGACACATTTCGTTAAGTACATGCTGCTAGCTTCAAATGTTTACACTACTCAGCACTCGATGAGTTCTGCGACATTCAACTAATCAAATGTTTAGACTATTGAGCACTCTATGAGTTCTGCAACATTTAACTAATCAAATGTTTAGACTATTGAGCACTCGATGAGTTCTGCAACATTTAACTGATCAAATGTTTAGACTATTGAGCACTCAATGAGTTCTGCAACATTTAACTGATCAAATGTTTAGACTACTCAGGACTCAATGAGTTCTGTGATATTTAACTGATCAAATGTTTAGACTGCTCAGCACTCAATGAGTTCTGTGATATTTAACTGATCAAATGTTTAGACTATTGAGCACTCGATGAGTTCTGCAACATTTAACTGATCAAATGTTTAGACTATTGAGCACTCAATGAGTTCTGCAACATTTAACTGATCAAATGTTTAGACTACTCAGGACTCAATGAGTTCTGTGATATTTAACTGATCAAATGTTTAGACTGCTCAGCACTCAATGAGTTCTGTGATATTTAACTGATCAAATGTTTAGACAACTCAGCACTCGATGAGTGCTGTGATATTTAACTGATCAAATGTTTAGACTGCTCAGCACTCGATGAGTGCTGTGATATTGAACTGATCAAATGTTTAGACTACTCAGCACTCGATGGGTTCTGTGATATTTAACTGATCAAATGTTTAGACTACTCAGCACTCGATGGGTTCTGTGATATTTAACTGATCAAATATTTAGACTACTCAGCACTCGATGAGTGCTGTGATATTTAACTGATCAAATGTTTAGACTATTGAGCACTCTATGAGTTCTGCAACATTTAACTAATCAAATGTTTAGACTATTGAGCACTCAATGAGTTCTGCAACATTTAACTGATCAAATGTTTAGACTACTCAGCACTCAATGAGTTCTGTGATATTTAACTGATCAAATGTTTAGACAACTCAGCACTCGATGAGTGCTGTGATATTGAACTGATCAAATGTTTAGACTACTCAGCACTTGATGAGTTCTGTGATATTTAACTGATCAAATGTTTAGACTGCTCAGCACTCAATGAGTTCTGTGATATTTAACTGATCAAATGTTTAGACAACTCAGCACTCAATGAGTTCTGTGATATTTAACTGATCAAATGTTTAGACAACTCAGCACTCAATGAGTTCTGTGATATTTAACTGATCAAATGTTTAGACTGCTCAGCACTCAATGAGTTCTGTGATATTTAACTGATCAAATGTTTAGACAACTCAGCACTCGATGAGTGCTGTGATATTTAACTGATCAAATGTTTAGACTGCTCAGCACTCGATGAGTGCTGTGATATTGAACTGATCAAATGTTTAGACTACTCAGCACTCGATGGGTTCTGCGATATTTAACCGATCAAATATTTAGACTACTTAGCACTCGATGGGTTCTGTGATATTTAACTGATCAAATGTTTAGACTACTCAGCACTCGATGGGTTCTGTGATATTTAACTGATCAAATGTTTAGACTACTCAGCACTCGATGGGTTCTGTGATATTTAACTGATCAAATGTTTAGACTACTCAGCACTCGATGGGTTCTGTGATATTTAACTGATCAAATATTTAGACTACTCAGCACTCGATGAGTGCTGTGATATTTAACTGATCAAATGTTTATACTACTCAGCACTCAATGAGTTCTGTGATATTTAACTGATCAAATGTTTAGACTACTCAGCACTCGATGGGTTCTGCAATATTTAATTGATCAAATATTTAGATTAATCAGCGGTTGAGGGGTTTTGTGACTCTTCTTCTTCTGCTTCTTTTTCATCGGCTGTAAACTCCGGCAGAAATTTCTGGTTGCTCATTGACTTCTGGACTTCTAAGTCTTGTTCCAGAATGTGAGTGTTGCATGCAAATCGTTTTACAGATCTGGCTTATCTGTAGGCAGACTGCTGGTTCCTTACTTCTCAGGTAGATGCATTCTGACCTCGAAGGAAACCCTTATCAGTCGACTTTTATTAACATTCTTGTTAGGGAGGCAGCGGGTCTATCCACCCCCCCCCCCCCCCCCCCAACAATTGGCACAAATGACAGCTGCCTTTTGCATTTTACTTTGCATTTGCAAGCTTTAAGATCTGCAGGACTGACAAGTTTTTCACTAATTTTCAAAAGGGACAATGAAGGACATTTTTTTTTTATTTCCACTGGCACAGAAAAAGAGTAGTTATGGATTGACACATCTGCAGAACTTCAACTAACAACTAACATAAAACTATTCTGCGAGCTAAAGCACAGAGTACAGCATATCTAGTATCCTAGTGCTCATGAAACGCTGCCTGTGTTAAACATATCACTGTGTGAAATAGCTGTATATAAATAATCATTTTTTTCACATCCCTATGTGGGTTCTGGAAGCTCCCTTGTGGGGGGGGGGGGGGACAGACTCATTGCCCACCTACAAGCATGTCGCAAAAGTCTACTAATTAGGGTTGTTTCCTTTTAATTCGAAGTGTCTGAGAGGTGAAGAACCAACAGTCTGCATATAATCTCTGTAAAATCGACAGACATATAAAACTTAAGTTCTAGAACAAGGCTTAAGTCCAGAAATGGACAAAGAAGAAGAACTTTCTGCTGGAGTTTAAAGCAGGTGAACGCTAAGAAAAAGATAGATTATTTATAAAAAATCTTAATCTTTGTGTATGTATATGCAAATATACAACTGCCACGTATGCACGCACACACATATTTTTTTTAGTCAATTAACTTTAGAACGTTCTTCCCCCTGTGTACAAAATTACAGATTAAAAGTTATTTTGTCAGGTATAATGGCACTAGACACGAGGTTGTCACAGCTACCATTTTTACATGATACGCTGTTTTAAACAATACCAGACACAAGGCTACCATTGCTAACTTTCATACACAAAGTTATGTTTAAAAAAGTACTAGACACTAGACTATCATTTCTATCTTTCAAACATCAGATACTATTCTAAACAGTACCAGATACTAGACTATCGTAGCTACCTTTCACATATAAGGTACTATTCTAAACAGTAGTGGATACTAGACAATCGTAGCTACCTTTCATACATCAGGTACTATTCTAAACAGTAGTGGATACTAGACAGTCGTAGCTACCTTTCATACATCAGGTACTATTCTAAACAGTAGTGGATACAAGACTATCGTGGCTACCTTTCATACATCAGGTACTATTCTTAACAGTAGTGGATACAAGACTATCGAGGCTACCTTTCATACATCAGGTACTGTTCTAAACAGCACTAGATACTACACTATTGTGGCTACCTTTCATACATCAGGTACTGTTCTATACAGTACTAGACTATTGTGGCTACCTTTCATATATCAGGTACTTTTCGTAACAGTACTAGAATATTGTGGCTACCTTTCCTACATCAGGTACTGTTCTAAACATTACTAGACTATCGGGGCTACCTTTTATACATTATGTAGTGCTCTTGCTATGGATATTCATACATCAATATGTACTGCTATTGCTATGGATACAAAAGAAAAATTGTAGACGTAAGTCAACTTCCTTTTGCAGCATACAAAATAGAAGAGCTTAATATGTTTAACATGCTGTTTTTTTACTACTTATGTGCAAACACACACAAATATGCATGAGATCAAACATTAGTGCGCAGTAATACCCCACAACAAATGTTCCTTACCTTGATTAGGTTGACCCTTTGACCTCTGCAATCGACATCAAATGAAGAAAAAAGTCAAAACATTAGTCACAAGTCAAATGAAGGAAATTTACTTGTAAGAAACAACATTTAAGTGACCAAGAAATAGAACATTTTAACTAGAGTATATTCACATTCGAACCCACAGGGGCATAGAAATAAAGGCAAATCAAATAGTGCACGGAGAAAGGAACTAGAGAGAGAAGATAAAAAGATGGTGACGTTATGGATCAGCTGCATGTAACAGAAACGATAGAATGACTTGGCATGAGTTGGCTGAGGACCTATGCTCTGTCAGGAGATAAAGGGTTTAAAAAAAAAAAAGAAGAAGACGCCAAAAATAAACTCCCAACAGTGAAAAATAAAAACAACCACCTTTAATTATTATATCAATAAAAAGACATGGCTAAAAAGTTAATAACAGGATTTAATAGAACCTTTGTTACATATATAATCTGTTGTGATTTATTATTAGAGAACCTTTGTTACATAAATAATCTGTTAGGATTTATTATTATAGAACCTTTGTTACATAGATAATCTGTTGGGATTTATTATTATAGAACCTTTGTTACACATATAATCTACTGTGATTTATTATTATATTACCTTTGTTACAGATATATTCTACTTTGATTTATTTTTATAGAACCTTTGTTACAGATATAGTCAATTGTAACATATTATTAAAGAACCTTTGCTGCAGATATATTCTATTGTGATTTATTATTATAGAACCTTTGTTACAGATATAACTGTTCTGATTTATTTTTATAGAACCTTTCTTGCAGATATAATTTGCTGTGATTTATTTTTATATAACATTTTGTTACAGGTATAATTTGTTGTGATTTATTATTACATAGATATAATCGACTGTATCCTTTTTTTTTCTTCTTAGCACTTACTGCCTGTAAACTCCAGCAGAAAGTTCTGGTTGTTCATCCACTACTAGACTTTGATCTTTTTACTAGACCTGTTTTGCATGCACATCTTCTTTCAAGATCTGGTTTATTAGAAGGCAGGATGTTGGTTCCTCACCTCAGGCAGATTCACTACACCTCTGAAGGAAACAACCCTAATTAAACGCCTTTTACAACATGCATGCTGGGGTGGGGCTTGGGTCTATTCTTTCTTCCCTTAAAATAGGGCCTGAGAAAGCCATTTTGTCATCTAGCAGGGTTTGTAAAAGATGTGATGCTTGTACTCCTTTCTTCTCTTTCAATGACTGTGATGTTATGTTTTCAACAAATAACATATGTAGTCTTTCAAGGCAGCAATCATATGCGCAGCCAAACCTTACTCAAGTGAGATCTCCGTCTACTTTCCTGATTGTCATCCCTCCCTGGCAAATCTCATACAATCATTATTATCATCACTTGGTATCTACCCTGCCAGCAATTCTTATGCAATCATTAAAATCACTTGGTATCCACCCTGTCAGGCAATTCTTGTACAATCATTAAAATCCCTAGTATTTACCCTGCCAGGCAACTCTTATACAATCATTAAAATCACTTAGTATTTACCATGCCAGGCAATTCTTATACAATCATTAAAATCACTTGGTACCTACCCTGCCAGGCAATTCTTGTACAATCATTAAAATCACTAGTATTTACCCTGCCAGGCAATTCTTGTACAATCATTAAAATCACCTGGTATCCACCCTCTCAGGCAATTTCCATACAACCAATAAAATCATTTGGTATCTACAGAACCAAGTATTTCTTACATAATTTTTTTTTCAAGCACTACTGTAGTAACAGACACTTTGTCGTGAGTACTGCCGCCTTTTATCAGACACTTATGGTGAGTACCGCACATTCTCTTTTCTAGGACAAAAAATACCCCCGCATATAACTGGGCATCCAGTCTACTGTAGGAAGTTGTGCCCATTTATAGTGGGATTGAATCCAGACATTGTTCATTGTTGCAAACGTGTATCTAACCACTAAAAAGCTTTTAGTTTAGTTTTATATGGTTTTCAAAATGTTTTAACTCTTTGAGTCCCAAGGAACGCATGATGCGTTCATAGGTTCCTACCTAGAAGCCCAATGAACGCACGATGCGCGGATTTTATTGCTTTCTTTACTACCCCCTGGGCCTGTGATGCTAAACCCCCTGGGACCCAAAGAGTTTTTTTTTTTTTTTAAAACAGCCCCATTTATTACTATCTTTGCCCGGCTCTCTAGCGAAGTTGGTTAAACCTGACTTTCGCGGCGGCCGGGTGACGAACTCCTTGTGGTCCGGGTTCACTCCCGGGGGTAGGCAGAAAAGCCACATTTCTCCCAGATTAATGGTACCTATAATGGAATCAAGGCCGAAGGGTTGCGATATCCATAGTACCGAGCCAAAGGGTTTACAACTCATGATTTCTGGATACGTAAAAAAAAAAAAAAAAAAATTACTATCTTTAGTCAGTGCAGCAATTACTTACAGCTTTTAAGTTTCATTTAAAGGGTGGATTTCACAAGCAGAACTGAGCAGTGTTGGGAATAATTAAAATTATGGATAATAAATTCTATGGATATTTTTTTTTTAAATTACTGTAGCATCAGCACAGATAAACTAAGAATGAACCTAATGTTGTGTTCTGTTCCCTTTGAGGTAAGTATAAAACGTATGTGGAATCAAGTCAAGTTACAAGAACAGCTGCTAGTGGCAATAATGCTAACTGGGGGGGGGGGGTGGACGGCTGAATATTAGTTATTACTGTTTACCGAAACTAACTCAAGAGTGATCCGGATGCCTATCTTATTGTATGACGAAAACCCAACAAACTATAACAAACATTTTTATTTATTTTCCTGAATTTACTCTTCACCTCAGACAAACCGACAAGATAAATAATGTCCGTAGTGGATATCTTACTAATGCAACCAGAGACAAAGCGTAAGACAGGAATAGGGGGTTAATATGTATTGTATTCATTGTAAATTGTTGTGTCAGTCATGCGTCAAGTGACATGGATGTAGGTATTTCTCAACTTCAACTACCTGATCGACATTTGCAGACATCCCACAGAATATTCAACCCCCAGAAATACAGTAAGTGTTCGTTCACAGTCTTTGCACACAGAAAGTAGGGAAACCAAAACAAGTTTTGCAAATTTTTTTCTTCTTCTCGAAAACTCTCACAGGTCACAAATGATTAGGGGGGAAACAAATTTTTAGCGTAACAATCGACAGGAAATTCCCTTCTTGGACATGTAACAATGGCGGCGACTACGCAAGTGCCTCGATCCCGCTGCCGGTCACGTGATCTAGTTGCCATCTCTGGTCAAATATTGTTCGATGTCAGCTAAAGCGTTCCCGGCTGAAGCTTCAAGTTTACAGATACAATTAAAATTGTAAAAATTAGAGGAAGACTATAAATGAAAGTTAGCATACAAAACATTTCGGCCACATTGAAAGACATAACATAAATCATATGGGGGGGGGAGGGGGGGGGGGGTTTCAAGGCAAAAGGTATGCAGTGATATAAGTCTTACGAACAGCACCATGAGAGCGTGTATAGATGTATATCTTAGACACAAGCCAGTCGAGACGCGTGCATGTAACGGCTGTATTCGCCGCTTACCCTCATCACTGCAAAAGAAAAATGCATTATTGTACTATTTATTATTGCTTTCGTTGTTGTCAGTTTGCCTCTGACAGTGGGAGACATCTTCGAATATCACTGATCAGCTGCCGCCCGCCTTAAGCTGGGTAACCCCCAGCCAATAAGGTGTTGATCCGCCACCGCCTGTATGCTTCAATTGGTACTTGGAGCTAGAGCAAATCCGAATCAATGGCTGCAAAAACGAGTGCACCAGGCAACAAAAAGAAACATAACATTAAGCTTCGACTTAGGTAGGTAGGTAAGTTGTACCCCACCAGGACATCACACAAGCGACAAACACCCAGTAACACAAAGTACTGCCATGCGGATGATTATCACCCTTGGAGATCCTGGAAACCCCGTTCAGCCGTTAGGCCATATCTAAGGCCCCGCTATGTTTAGGGCCCTGGGAAAAAGCTAGGGCGGGGCTTCAAAATAAAGAAAATTGCATCCCACACGGGGACGATGCTCTTGAAAAAATAAAATGAAGCTTCGACTTGCCTCATGGAAGGTCAGGACCATGTGTCGTGGTGTAACATTAGTGGTGTAAGAAAAACAGCTATCATTGATGCCGAACTCAATAAACTTGACACAGATATTGCTGGCCTACAGGAAACACTTCAGAAAATATCACTGTTGGGATCAGTCGAGCGGCCAACTGGAGGCAATTACAGAATATTATCCCTAAGATTGTCTTCGTCTAACGGTTTTATCCCCATTGTGACTGCATGTGTAATCTGGTAATCAAGTAATCTTAGTTTCAGCTTCATAGCAAACGGGTCACCTCATAATTGCTTCGCTCCTGTGCCAACGAAAAACACATAGAATGTTTATCACAGTCCCTTGTGGAAAGATTGACAGACTGCTGTCTCAGCATATGCACTAGCATATCCAAAGTTCTAAGTGAAAATCCCCAGCCAGATCTTGCACACCGATGAACAGAACCAACGGTGTGCAATACTGCATTATCCAGTCCAGCCTTTACATCTCATCTAGGCTATCAGTTGTAGTACCTCGAATTCTACCATACCGTTACACCACTCTCTACATTCTCTTCCTAGCGTGATAATGGCCTAATGGAAACTGCTGTTGTGGGCGCTCGTGTCGATCCATTCATGCTCGCTGCGTATTTGCTTGCCTGAGGCCGCCGTCTCGATGGTATCTTCAGCTAGTACCATCCACGACTTACCTCTTTTCAACCGCTCTTCTCTTAGATCGTTCAAATTGCCATGCAGTGGATGCCTTTCGACATTGATAACAAGCATATAGGCATTGGCTTGCGTCAGTGAGTCTAGATTTTATGGATGTCAGCCCAAGCATATACCTCATTGTTCTAAGTGGGGTGTCCCGTGTGCAACCCAAGACGATTCTAATTCTTTCGTTTTGAATCCCTTCAAGCTAGTAGACTGTGAAGTAGATAGGGTTAATTTTCCTAGGCCATAATCGATTACAGAAAGTACCAAATGGCTGAACAATAAAACCAATAATCTCTGTTTCATGTGTGTCGTCACCGTCGTCTTTAGTGCCGCCAGGCCACGCTTGCATTTATTTGATCACAGTCTAGTCCACGTGATTTCTGTAGGACAGACTGCGATCAAACGTCAAACCTTCGTATTTCAACCTATCGCTTCTTTTAACACTAATACCCTTGATCGATATGTTGGGTAATTCTTCCTTCCCAGTGCTGTTATTTAAAGAGCACCACAAAACACTAGCCTTCTCTGGGTTTATTGACTCTTGACCCTGTCTGTTCACACCACTCCGTCATCTCATGCAAAGAACTTTGTAAGTCTCTGGTCATGTCGTGCCTGTCTGACCCGCTTCGATACATTAGGACATCATCTACAAATGTCAAAGTTCACCCTAGTCCAGTGGGCTGAACTGTTGCCAGACTTGCTGTATATATGTTAAACAAGACAGGTGACAATGGTGATCTCTGGGAAAATGTGTATTGGATCTGATCTCTATGTTCCCAAACAAAATACACTGTTATTTCCAACAATGCTGCCCCCATCCAATTAGCTAACCAAGGGTTCCCACCACAGTCTATCACACACTGCATAAGATATGTGAAGTCAACGCTGTTATAGGCATCTTTAAGATCTATCGTGACAGCTTCTTGCTTTTGCTGAGATCCTTCCTACACATCATATGCGAACGTTCCAGCATTGTCTCATGTTGCCTTTGATAGCCTATAGCTGCCCGTTGTGGCCCATAGCATGCTCATTCTGTCTAAGTGTCACCCATGTTACAGATCTTGCTACTGTGTATGCAAAATGTCAATTCCCGGCCTCTAAGGCAGATGCATGCCATCTTCCGAGGATACACCTTTAATAAATTGACTATTATGACATGCTCTTTAGGGGGGACAGTGGATCTATTGTTGATTTATTCTATAATGGAGCCTCATAACACATACAGGGAATAAGCATGTGATTATGTGATGGCAAGTAATTATATTTATCATTTACTTATGTAGCAGAGCAGCATTTTTTTTAAATGTTGGCAACTTTCCGTCTTTCCCAATAATAGTATTCCACTGTGTTACAGGGAGGGTTCGGAAATGCAGCCCATGGTGACGATAAGTACGACTAGCTTAGGCTAAGAATCTTTCCCATAAGATATCAGGACCATTGTGGGCATCACATGTATTTGAAACATTTCTTCTCAGGCATTAAACTGTCTGCAGTTCTTTTCTCCGTTGTCCTGTTCCTTTCCTAATTCTCCCCTCCATGCAAAGAAGCATGTCTGTGACAGTGAGTTAAAAGATTTTTTTTAAAATATATAAAAAAAAGTTACACTTCATAAGAATTCCAATATGCATTTATTAAACGTCATGTTACAGTTTCAATAAACCACCTGTTATAAACAAAACAAAAATAATGTGTCAAAATGAACAATCTCCAAAATATGGAAAACCATTCAAGTGTTTAAAAAAAAAAAACTTGTGAAATATGCATGATCTCCCCAAAGCAGAAAGAGTCAGGATTACCTTCAGTTAATAATAAACCCAAGGAATATGTAAAGTAAAGACAGTCCCATAGCCTATACAGTCAATGGGGAGTGTTGTAAAGCCATCACATACTCTATATACCAGTGTTCTTCAAGCTTTTTACACCCCTGGAGCGAAACAATAGGAGAAATGTTTTTGTGTGTGTGCAGACCAGCTGGCTGATCGCAAGGCAGAAATAAAACATAACTGTACTTACAAACAAATCAATTGTATGCTGCCTTTACAGTAAAATTTATCAACAGGGCACTCACCAACTTTTGAATTTGACTAAATACAAGGTTTCACAGCTACCAGATGTGCTGGGTCAAAAGGTGCAGAAGCATAGCCTAGCTGTAAACCACAAAGTGCCAATAGCCTCTTTAAAGAAGAAAGCAGAAAAAGAAGACAATTACTTATGAAGCAGGGTGGCCATTCCCCTTTCTCGTCATCTCTTTCCCAGTGGGTATAAATATTATCATTGGTTGGAGCTTATTGCTGCTGTTAATCTTCTTTTGCACTACCTACTCACACTGGACTACAGGTTACTTTGTACCATTTGTGGTGCCCCTGTATAACTGTACTATACAGCTATATGGTTGAACAGGGTTTCCGGGATTTGTAACTGTTTGTGGTGCCCGTATATAACTGCTTTATGGCTGTATGATTGAATAGGGTTTCCAGGATTTGTAAATTTTTGTGGTGCCTCTATATAACTGTGCTCTATAGCTATATTCTCCCTGTCTCTGGGTAGTGAGATCAGACACCCATGCAGTTGAAAATCGAAAAGAGTAGCCTAACGGCGCTGCCCAGGCAAAATTTGGAGTTAAAAATCTACCCAAAGTATTTCAGGATCCTTGACCCTCACCGGTGCTACAGAGCCTGTGCACTGTGCTGAGATTCTTCTGACTCAGGCTTGAGTTAGATGCACTGACTTTAAAGGACCCCTCCCTTATCCAGTAAGTCACCTTTTACAACACACCTGTTAAGAGAGCAGAGGGTCTATTCTTCTTCCCCAAAGTGGGGCCCTGGAACCCATGAGTTTAGTTAGTAACTAAAAAGGTGAAAAGAAAGAAAATATACAAATTATAAATGTACACATAAATACAGCTAATAGCAGACATTTCACCGCACAATCAACATCATATTTCGGACCCTATCACACATCGAGTGCAACCCCAGTGACATAATATAAGCCTCTTATTTACATATTTATACAGTATTGTTTTATTAGAAATGTTATCCCACCTAAGACTTACGCACAATGACTCAATGAGCCACTTTCTGCATGTCAATAAAAAATCCTGGAAACCCCATTTAATAGTTGCACCGGGGTAGCTTAAGGTTATGAAGTCATTCATATACAACATGGTTGAGTTTTGAATAAAGAATTGACATCACAGCACTCGGGGCATTCCCACTAGCGCT